GAACGAAGTTGGATCGTCCGGGACGATCGGTACAGGTTCTAAAGGAATTTCTGGACAGAGAAGTTCGTCCCAGGACGAACTGGGGTTCGTTTGGACGAAATTTTTTCAGAGAGCAACTCGTCCAGGTACGATTACTGTACACGTCTAAATGAATTTTGTCCAGAGGGCAAATCGTCCCGGGACAATTTGCGATTGTCCGAGAAGATCTGGTTGGATATATATGGAAATGAGATATTTTGAAGAGAGAAAAAGGCAGGAGAGAGAAAACTGAAGGAAAAAGGAAGAAAAGTGATTTTTGGGCGACTTCTGTCCGTTTTCATCCGTAGCTGCAGTTGAGAAAGTTGACCTACTTGAAGTAAGGCACATTCCGCCTTTCTCAATTTTCAGAAAAGATAATTTTGACGACTTTTCTGTTTCGGATTTTGTTTCCGTTAGCGAATAATTGGTTTCGTTTTGCACTGATAAACTTTTTACCGCGTAACTTTTGGTATGTCTCTGAGATGATGTTTTTGTACGTTTTGAGTATTTTCTAGAAGATTTTCTCCGGATATTTTGAATTTTGCAGTGTTTTAACCGAATAACGAATTATCAGGATGTTGAAAAATGTTACTTCAGTACAATGAAAGTCTTATAATGATGTTGTGTATTATCTGTGATAATTTGGTGAATTTTCTGAATCTGTGTTTTATGTGTAAATTCCGTATACTGCCGTTATGCCGCTGGCGATTTTCTGACGTAATCCGATTTTCTAAATTGAATGTTTTGATGTGCTGTGATATCAGAAGGGAGTTATAAGGGGCCAAAATCCTTTGAGATTCTGTCTGTGTCAGGAAAATCTGAGAAATCTAAAAAGAAAATAAGTTCTGTTCTAAAAATTCTTTATATCTGTTATGTTCTAGTGCTATAAGCACAAAGGGAGACATAAGGGGTCAGAATCTGAGATTCTGTCAGTGTCAGGGAAGGGAGGCATAAGGGGCCAGAATCCGTCGAGATTCTGTCAGGGTCAGGGATATGTGATATGTGAAATGTGATTTTATCTGATTTGACATCTGTTATGTACTATTCTGTTTATTTTGTACGATTCTGTTTGTTCCGTATGATTCTGTTTGTTATGTACGATTCTGTCTGTTCTGTGAAATCTGACGTGAATGTTCTGTGATACGAAAGGAATTCAGTTTTTTTGTATCAGTGGTTTAATTTCTGTTTGATCAAGTATCTGTATGATTTCTGATGTATTTTCTGATGCGTATTTCTAAAGATTTTGATTGGTGAGTGTAGTCTTGCTGAGCTGTTAGCTCATCTTTATTTTCTGCGTGGTTTTCAGGTTCTGGGAAAGGGAAAGAGATCTTGGATTAGCAGTTCTGTGTCTGATCAGTCATTAGGTATTTTGTACTTTTGATTTTGTATAGTCATGGGTTTTCTGTTCTGTTCTTTTTGTCTGTAGCCATGCACTGTATTGTATATGATTATTTTGATAAAAAAAGAAGAAAATAGTAGATACATTTCTTTATATGATTTGAAGTTTATAGCAGCTCTGTGTTTCTGTTTGTTTGAATATTCGAAAGAAAGTTCTGAAGCAAATTCCAAAATTAGATCCTGGATTTTCAACATTCATCGCGACCCGATGCGAGCGGGATCCATTCTGGTCGGGTTGGGTCGTGCCAGCTGCAGCAATTGGATCCTGATCTATTAGAGTGGTACGAGAGTTCTAGAGATGCTGACTCGACGGGATCGAGTTTTCTCCCACCTGGGGAGAATGATGAGGACATCGCTCAGAGATTCAGACACGTGTACCGGCAACAGAATCGTAGATCGACGGCCACGATTCAGCGTCTTTATTTTTCATGCTTTATGTTTTATCTATTGTTGTTTGCATGATGTTTTATTTAGTTTTTGTTGTTTTCCATTTTTACCTTTATGAGAAGTATTTTGTCATTGTAGCGTAGAGGGCATGTTTGTACTTTTCTTTTCATGTGGAGAGGACTATATATAGTGGCCCATTGTGTTGTAAAAGGATGATGATTGATTAATGAAATTTGGTTTCTTCTTCTTTTTCTTGCATGAGGGCTAGAGAAGAGTGATTGAGCTCAAGGAGAGCGAGTGCATTACCCGCCAGTCGTTGGAAGAGTCCGCGACTCGTGGCTTCATTTTATTTTGTCATTTCATCTTCTTCTCCACCTTTTGTTCTTTCCCACATCTACCTACCAACCTCCCTAGCTCCACCACAATAAGTCCAACCACCACCCAAGCCACCTCCACCCGACGAAAAATCCTTTTCCCCCTTTAACTGCCGGCCATCTCCTCCTTCATCAACCGTTATGATGATTTCAATCGTCATAATGGTTTCCTAATTTGGCTCTAGCATTAAAGAGGGACTTTGTGAGTTTTGAATTTCAAATTTCAAAAACTTTCCTTATTTGCGAAATCTAAATAAGGAAAGTTTCTAAATTTGAATCTATTTGAAATTCAATTTTGGAGGAGTCATTATTTCCCCGCCTCGTCGTCATTTCTTGATTGGAAAGAGTCTAAATCCTCCCTAATCCCTCTCCCCCCTCTCTCCAAGCTGCCGGCCTCATGCTTGGCCTTCTCCCATTAATTCCCCAATCAAGGCATTATTGACCACTTAATTTGAAATCAAATTTCAAATTATTTCCCCCCAGTCTCATTCAAATCCTGAAATTAATTTCAAGTTTGGAAATAAAACCCCTTCCCCTCGCTCTTGAACCCGCCGGCCCCCCCTTGATGGGCTCCCATTAAATGCTCATTAATTCCCCTAAACTCTATTTGAAATTTGAAATCAATTTCAAATTGATTCCCTCCAAAATTACACAAAATCTGAAATTAATTTCAGATATGGAATAAATCTTATTGTCCTCCATCTAACCTAAACTCTCTCACCCAAGCCACCCGCCCCCTCTCTCTCTACCTTGTCCGCCCCTCTTCTTGGTCCCTCCCTTGGGAAGTTTTGGTTGCTCATAATTTTTGAAGCCAAGAGAAGAAGACGATGCCCTCTCACCTTCTCTTCAATGTTGAATGGCCGATCCCGAGGTTGATCACGGTTTCGCTTACAGCGATCGTGGGGAGATTGACATTCTTCTCTGTCCTTTCTACGATCTCGATTGGGAATACGACGAGACTGTGGAAAGATACGTCAAGCGCATCCTCTATTGCTTAGCAGGGACGATCGATCTTCAAAAGCCTAAGACGCCTTGGCTTCTCGTTGGGAGATCTACCCCTTCTCCATTCGTGACTACCTCTCCGTCAACAAAGACCTTCGGTACTATCTTCCTAGTGGCAATTTCTCTCATTGTATGCTTCATCTTCAACCGGTAAGCCTAAGAGTGATTGAGTGAGTAGGAACTCTAAGTGACCATGTCTTGATGTTACGCTGTGGATTTCTGTTTGCTAGCTATTAGAACTACTATTTAATTTTTGTTGTTCTTGAAACTGTCTTGCTAACCTTTTGTAACGGCTTACCACTACTCTGTCTTTCAATGGAAAAGTTCTAAGAATTTATTTTGATTGAAGCATGAGTTACTAATTAGCAAAGTATAAATTCAATTTTATTGTTACAATCCCAAAGCAACTCTTCGCATGTTTGTATTACATCATATTCATATTGGATGAGACAACTCCATTGAAAACTTTCACCCAAGTTTTGAAGGCAATAAATTTCAACATATATAAAATACCCTAAACATATGTCAATCCTTCATGGCAGTTAAAGTCGGATAATTCCATATGCAATTCATATATTTGATTTAGTTAATGTGCTTTGTGATATTCTTATGCGTGCATGTCCATGTTTGAGCTTATACAAGTATGCATACTCATATAGATGTTTATTGACACAAGCACATAAATGCATATATACACATATGAGGCTTATTTCGAGTTGAATTAAATAAGTTATAAGAAAAACATCCTTGAGTTGAAGAAAATCTATTTGTTTTAGAGTTGATTAAAATTCAAGTGATTTTAAAGCAAGTTTAGAACTTCATTTATCATTATCGAACTTGTTTTGGGGGTTTGGTTTGGCAAAAACTTGATGCAAAGTATCTTCATTTAGTTTTTGTTTGGTTTGATTGATTTGGAGGGAATACAAAATCATTTTACTCACAATTTCATTTCGGGTGTTTACTTGCAAGGTAGTTTCTAGGAAAATGAATTTACCTAGGAAATGTGACTAAATACCTTTTCTTATTGGCAATTTTCTGCACAATCCTAGTGAAAAATGAGAATAAAAGTTTAACTGATCATCATTGTGAATCATATGACCTTTCGATGAAACAAAAAAACTAATAATATTTTTTCACTCAATTTCTTACTAACCAAATTGGTTATTGAAAACAATTTTGACTCAAGTCCATTACTGTTTCCATTTCTATTTTCATTTCATTCTTTTCTTTCAATTCCTTCAAAGCAAACAGAATCTTACCGGAATCTCTGTGTTTGTTTTAAATAAAGTGGATGTTTTTTGCTTTCTTGACATTTCTGTTGCAAAATAAATTAATCCGAACTTCAATCTTTACTTCACATTTGATTATTTTGCACATGCATTCCATTTGTGGTGAATCCAATGGATGCTCAGCATTAGAATTGCCTTGCACGTGGTTGCATTATTATCTATGGATATGAAAAATAGGGGTGCATTCCGATTTATTTGAAAACTCCTTTATGTAACTTAGGGCCACTTTTTAGAACTTTCCTTGAATCAAGAATAAGAGACTAAAATAAAATTGTACAGATATATTAGTACCGTAGATAAACATCATTGTCATGAATGCACTCTCCCTTCTCATAACTTACCTGGACCACCTGGTCATATGTAACGGATTTGTATGGCATTTTCCATGCGGTTGATTGTGGGATACTACTAACGTTGCACGATCATCTGTTCTATTGTGAGCTTTTTTTCTCACACATTTATTTGTGCACATGAATGATTCTATGTGGATGAAGTTTCATTGACTTATGGTTTACTTTGGATTTGTTTTCAGAAATTGAGATACCGTCAGATGCTAGTTTGGCTGCTGCAGTAGATATTTTATCTAAAAACAAGATCCTTAGCGCACCTGTGCGGAATGTTGATGCACCAGAAGATGCTAGTTGGATTGATCGTTACATTGGTATTTTAGAGTTTGCTGGAATTGCTGTTTGGCTCCTACATCAGGTTTACATGCTTAGGTTTTCTTCTGTTGTGATTGTTTCTTGGATGACATCTTTTTTCTTTCTAGGTATTGTTTTTTTTTTTAATTTGATGAAGCACTATATAATAGGGGCGTCAAAATGGGTTTTCGGGTCGTATTCTGATCAAACCCAAAATTAACCCGCCTTCAATTGATCCGATCCGGACCCAAACTTATTAGGTAAACGGGTCATAAATTCAGACCCTGGCTTGACCCATCATGTTACCGGGTTGACCCAACCCAATCCGACCACTAACTCGTGGGTGCGACGCGAGCTTCGAGTGCTGGTGGCATGTAGGATTGGGTGGGACTGCGCGAGTGTGCGGGTGCTAGTGAGGGCACGACCGTGAGTGGGAGAGGGCGACGGCCCGTCTCCAGGAGCATGACAATGCGGGTGCAAGTGGCAGTGAGACGTCATGCAAGCTCAAGTGAGAGGCTGCGAGTGAGTGCACAGGCTCAGGGGCTAGTGCAAGGCGAGGCGCCTGGGCGGGGGCGAGGTCAGACGAGGACTCAGGTCAAATTTGGATTAGCGGGTTGACCCTGACCGAACCCGATTTTTCAAATGGATCAAAAAATAGAATCCGAACGACCTGTTTGTTAAACAAGTCAACACAAATCCAAATTTTTTGGGTCGGGTTATCGGGACGTGTCAATAATTGACACCCTTACTGTATAGCTTGACAGCTATGCATCTGCAGAGTTGTGTTGGTGTATTGTCAAAGTGGTAGATCAGTTTTTGTTGAATATTGATGTAATAATTTCTTGAACATCCACTACGTAGTGGCACGGATTAAGGGCCCGATGGTAATTTATGATCTATATTAAGATTTATTAAGAATTCATAAATTTTATTCTTAGATTGCTCTAGTTTAAAATTAAACTTGTTTCTTTTCTTGTTAGAAACATGATTTTTTTTTTCAAATTCTGGTAAGCTAAATTTCATTCAAACAATATTTGGCTATTAACGTCATAACACTGGGATGATATAGTTTGTTGATGTGTTAGTTGACAGTTCTGCTAGTTCATTCACAATGAAGTTTGATCACTCGGATTTGCATGAAACAACCTTCTCTTTGTCGAAGAATATCTTTCACTCAAAATGTCCATGCTAGTTACATATTTTGGCACTCTATCGCTTTTTATTTCTTCCTTTGTGGTTGTGGACTGAAATTTTAAATGTATCATGAACCTAACTTTTTCTTCTTGATCTCTATTTCTTCTTATTTAAGCTCAATTTCATGAACCTATATTCATTATTTCATATGAAATAGTTGGAGTTGTAAAACTCCCTGCCTAATAGGACATGACTTTTAATGTGAAGGATGCATCCCGGGACAATTTACTAGGGTTAAAAATGTGTTTTATTTTACCAATTTAGCTATATCAGAGGCCGAACAAGATTAAAATTGCATTTCAACACCCACATGAGGTCCAATGTATCACGGAGTTCATGAATACCGAGATCACTTGAATTGATTTCCGAATTGCCCTAAAAGGCCTAATTGGAGAAACTGGGTAGGCTCAGCTTAGTTGTCTTTTAGGTCTTTGTCTCTGTTTTGTTCTCTAGTAGCTCTATGCATGCAACTCACATTTAACCATGACTAGTGCATTTAATGAAGTATTAAAATTTAGTTGCTTGTTGCAATTGAAATGGTGGCTCTTCTTCTTTGAGTCTTTAGTATGTTTTATAGTTATCAGTTTATGCTTATTGGATCTCTCTCTCTCTACCCCTCCCCCACCTTTCTCTCTCCCTCTCTTTCTCTTTCTTAGTTGATTGAGCTTCTCTCCCAAGAGAACCTAGAACCCACTTTAAAGTTCTCAACTAACTCCTCTCACACAAATCTATTCGACTTAGTTTCCCTCTTAGTCGTCAGGTACATCATGCACAAAATTTTTCTAATGTTTGGCCACACTCCAAGGACATCCAAACCCAACTCCCTCTCTCTACACCACATAATATGTCACACCTTTTTTTTTTTTTTAAATTTTTTAATTTTTAATTTTTATTTTTTTTAATATGTCACACCTTATTTTGATTTCTTTTAGTCAATTTGGAGTATAACAAAGAAGGAGAATCTGGAGACATATCTCTTACTAACATCCATTTTGAAGTACATTTATTAGGATTAAGTGAGTAGGAAATAGCCTATCTTAACTATCCAAGCATATTAAGTTTTTCAAATCTTAAGATTCAATTTCATATTTCATAATTGAAAACATTTTTAAAAATGCATTGAATAAAATACAGAGCTTATTAAACTTTCAAATAATATTTACATACCTAAAAGTTTATCTATACATCTTCTATTCTGACTTCTATGTACATCTAAAACATATTTATACAAAGTGTAGTCAATCTCTTGCCTAGAGCACCATAATCTCCTTCTCTTTTTCTGCAGTACAACTACAGCTGATGAGCTAGAGCTCAATGAAATATGCAAGCATAATATAAGAAATAAGAAATATGTTTGTAGTCAATTAAAAATAATCTCGGGGTAGCTCTCATTCAAGGAAGGGTTCGAATTCCCAACTTTTAAAAGTGAGAATATAAGATACCTTCTATACAGCTGCCTTAAGATTTACCTCGTCAAGTCTTTCGCCTTTAGTTGTGCGGGCCTATACTCCATATCACTTTTCTCAATTAGGCTTCTCATAACAATTATAAAAAATGTCATTGCAATAAATACTTGATAAACTAGTAACTAAAGACATAATGCTATCACAATTACATAAAAATATGTGGTCGCAATTATATAAAGTTTACTATTTCTTATACTATAGTTTGGATATTTCACCTCGTTTTCTAAAGTAGGCGGGTGAATTTTTTCTCTTACAATACCCCGACCTTCTTTTCTCTTATATACAATTTAAATATTACATTTTTACCATTTAATACATTCTAGCTTAACTTAATATTAAGGAGCTCAGGTTAGCAAAATTCAATAATTGGCCCAATGTATGCTTAGGTAAGTAGGTTTAGATATAGTAACAGTAATATAAAAATTAATTAACTTTCAATTAAACACTTAAGTTTTATATATTATTAAATGATTATATTTTATTACGCTTTTAGATACACTTTTATATATCAAAATGCTAAAAATTAAAAAAAGGATTTTATGAAAATAACTTTGACATTTTATGGAGGAATGATAATATGGGGTGAAATTTTGAGGAAATTTTATACTTTTTGAAAAATTTGTGGGTATTATACAATATTCTCTACAATGCTTCATTGCTTAAAAATTGGAATACCTAAACTCTAATAATTAACCACAACAAAAACTAAATATACCATTATTGGGCTAAATATACTAAGTGGTGAAGCCTACCGAACAATGCTCTGAAAAATGTACTACCTTCTTGTCCTAAACCCGAAACCATAGGAAACTTATCTATAGATTTTATCTTAAGCATAACTAGAACTCGAAGGATACATATAATAATTTTAATGTTGTTAATAGATTTTTTAAGAGAGCTCATTTAATCATTCAAGTGATAGATAACATAAACTCCATAATCTGCTACGATGACATTTCTATTTTGGTTGAATGATTTTAAATTAAATGTTGTTTTTTTATTTGTGTAATTATCTCTACTTCTATGTATTAGTTTTAATTTTAATATTACATTCTTTTGAAAACACTGTCATTGTTATGTCCCTAGTCCTTTATAAGAAAATGTTGCACTTCGGAAGTTTGAATTTGTGTTTTGATGATAACAAACATTATTGAACTGTATTTAGTTTATTCTATATTTTATTATTGTATATCTGTTATGTGTGTACTAACATTTTTGGTTCAACATATACCAAATATCATTAAAAAAATTAGGACTCAAGATTTGGTAGTATATGTTTGATTTATGCAAGAGTCTATACTTTTTATTTTTTTGAGTCTATCAATGTAAAAGATGTATGTTAGCTTAGCAACTGTACACCCATACACAGGGGGAATGAAAAATAAAGATTTCATTTTATTTTGCTTAATCATAATGTGTGATCAGTTCAAATAGAAATTAATCAAAATATTTTATTTAAAAAAATTAAAATTCACATATTGAATCGTATAGTATGATAACACATCATACTAGACGATCAATTATAATTAGAAACCCCGTTGTTGAATCTAACGTACCTAAAATAAACAAATTTGAATATTGAAATTTAAACTATTTGTAGTGTATGAATCATTTCGTATTGTATGATACTTTAAATCATTGCTTAATTAGGTTAGTTAATTAAGTAATTAAATCAGATTTGATTGATTACTGATCGTATTGTACGATACTATATTGTATTGTACGAGTTGACCGAGGAGTCTCTGGACGAAGTTTGGTTCATCCATTACGATCAAAAAATTGTACTGTCTGAATCACCTAGGGCTCTCTGGACAATTTTTGTTCGTCCTATACAGTCCGATATTGAGTTGTTCTAATCGTACTATACTACCGTTCATTTATATAGTGCGACCAGTTAGATAACTTTAAATGATTGCCCTTTAGACTATTCATCGTACATCACTACAGAAGAATATTTGAATTAATCGTACTGTACGAATAGTGACTGCTAAATTGTAAATTAGAGTTTTCTTCGGACCTACTATTTAATCATCTCTTATTTCATGAGAGAGTGTCTTTTGGCAGTCAAGGTCTTGGTTCTTTTGTAAACTATGTTTTAAGAGAGAGCTTTGAGAAGGAAGGGAGAGAGCCATAGTTGAGAGAGAGGAAGAAGAGTCTTATGAGTGCAGGGTGTGTGAGAGGGTGTTTCTTACACGGTTGCTTCGGTCAACATCCACCTAGTTCTTCCTTTTGTCAAAGTTTTCTTGAGGGAAATTTCGAGAAGTTCTTGGATTCAAATGGTCATCGACAACTCTGTCACACCGGGAAAGGTAAAAGGGATTCAGCTACTTCGCTGCATCGAGGAAGGTGAAAGAGATTTGGCTATTCCTACCGCACCGGGGAGCAAGAAATTTATTTCGTTCTCAGCCACATCTAAATTCAAATAAGACATCTTTCTCTAAATAAACATTCCTAATTATTTCATCCCAGATTTATCCTCCTTACATAGTGAATATTAACTCTCCTAGGCCCCACAAGGTAGCCCCCCCTCCCCCCAATCTTACATTCCTTAAATAAACATTTTTTAATTTCCTCCTCTAGCTTTCTTTCAAACGGCTCCACCTTCTTTGTTGTCATAGGTCCCAAAAAGGTGCTCTAATATCAATATGATACGACTTGGAAGTAAAAATTACAAACCAATCAATAAAAAATTGCAGGAATGCCCAAAACATTGGCTGATTTTGTATTATTTAAGCAAAATGAAAGCAAGATACAGGTGATCTACTATTAAAGAGGTAGATCATCTCTCCCACAAGACTTAGACGATGCTAGGAACTCATAACAAATACTAAGAACATAAAACTTAGTAATAACATACCTAAACCTTAGCCAACTCCCTCTTAAATAGCCCTAGAATACAAAATCATAAATAAAACTTTCATAAATAACTTAAACGTGATTAAAAAAACCTTCCTACACAATTAAACATGATTTAAGATACTTTCATAAACAATTATACATAATTAGAAAATCTTCTTAAACAATTAAACATATTTTATGAAATCTTCCTATACAATGAAATACTTCCTATATAGCATAAATATAATTAGAAAACTTTCCTAAACACCTCGCAAATCTGAATTAAAATCAGTCATCTCTCCTTAAATAAACATTTTCTAATTTCTTCAATCCAAATTCAAATTAGTCATATTTCCCTAAATAAACTTTTCTAATTATTTCATTCCTGATTTCTCCTCCTTATATAGTGAATATTAACTCTCCAGGGCCCCATAAGGTAGCCCCCTTCCCCACCTCGACGTATCAAAGTGATATTCTATTACGTGCCATTTTCGTGAAACACTAGCTTGGTGAAGTTTATTAATTGAAGAGAGGTGGTACTGGGTTTTTTGTCACCCTCTTTCATGAAAAGGAATGAGACTGCATACTGTAAAGCATGCATGGCTTAAGCTGCATTTTATACCATGCCCTATTATATCTGCATTTATACTTGCATAGAAATGGGCGTTGATTCAGATAGAACAGTCATGCCCTATTACAAAAAGGTGTGAACTTTACTATTTATTGGGCTTTTAAGCTTCTTACATTGAGAATAATAATATCCTATTTGACAGACAGATGTAGCAGCTTGTCATGGGGATGATTTTGGAGCCAATTCTTCAACTAAAGGAAGCTTTTTTGAATATCTGACATCTTCACACTTCTATAGGAGTACGAAGGTTTTTTTTTTTACTTAAAGGAAAAATCAAATATATTCTGCTAGATGTTTTATGATTTATATGTGAAACGTCTGACTTGACTATATGCTCCTTCCACAGGTTCAGGACATCTCAGGGTCATTCCGCTGGGCTCCTTTCCTAGCTTTACAGAAAGAAGACTCATTTCTTACCATGCTTTTGCTACTTTCGAAGTATAGAATGAAGAGTCTACCAGTTGTTGACCTGGGTGAAGGAAAAATTGAAAACATCATCACACAGTCTGCTGTTGTTCATATGCTGGCAGAATGTGTTGATCTTCACTGGTTTAAGAATTGGGGAACCAAGAAACTTTTTGAATTGGGCCTTCCTATCATGAAACCAGATAAACTAGTTAAGGTGCTTAATTGCCACTCTATTTGCATAGATTCAATTTATAAGCTTCCTATTGCATCCATCTAATATGTTACTGGAAAGATCAATTTCACCTATTTTAGGTATTGCATAGTTTATCCAACCATATGATTGATATTGGCTACTAAAGAAGAGATTTCAGGAAAAAAACGAACACTGGAGAGGAACTATTGATGCTTCCAGGGTTATCTTTAATTTAATCTTTTGGCTACCTAAGAAATTGATAATTCCGCAAGACCATATGGAACATAAAGAATGACATGTTGATCCATATGGGTAATAACACAAAAAAGGAAAAGCATTTCAAAGTTAGAATTTAAAATATTTAACATATATTTGATTGAAGATTGTTGGGATGGAGGATTTATTAGCACTCTAGATCTCTACCTTGATGTTCGATCTATGTGCTCCATGTCGTATTTCAAGCAACAATGCATCCTCCTCAACTACATGGTGTTACTTACCAAATTTATCTTTGCATCTTCTAGAATGCCATGAAGCTGTTCAATGAAATACTCCTTAAGGACAACAACTGATGGAACTGGTGGAACAACTGAGGTATTGGCTCACTCTAACAACATTTTGAGTTCGACAGGCTTTAGGTTGTGAGAACTTGATTGGGATGAGTGATTATCTGCCTTTCTATCAATTGGCCTTCTTGTCGCTCAGTGTAGGGTGGGTTTTTTGAGAGAGTGTGGACAAGTGATCCCTTATCCTTATAGGCGAACTCCTTTGGTAGCCATTGACATGTCCTTTTAGGCATCTATTCTTGTGAAGTAATATCTCTGTCATGACTCGGTTGCCACCTGTGAGGATAACTATGAAGGCAATTAATGATAACTTCATAGGGTACTCTTTCTTTGACAGGTAAGTACGAACAAGACGAGTTTAACTATTTAAGAATTTCCATGCTAATCCAACTTTTGGAGCAACTTACTGCACCGAGTTTCCACCACCTCCCCTGGATGAACTCGTCGTTTATGATGAAAGGGAGGTCGACAGAGATCTGAAGTCCATTGAAAAGGTTGGTCTGGAACAAGGCGATGTCAAAGAGGCCACAATATATTGAGACATAATTGAGGAGGTGGCAATGACGATTCTTGGTTTGTTGGAGTAGGTTAAAACATCGATAGACAAGCTATTAGTGGGCGAGATCGAAGATATGTTTGATGTGGCAGTGAGGGATGCTAAGTGGAGCTTGATTGTTTTTTCCTAGAGAGATAAAGTTTGAATTCTCTGTTTTCGCGGGCTTCTTTCTCGCCTCCGGCCATGGCGGCCGATTGCCGTCGGCCTTAAGGCGCTGTCAAAGAGGCCACAATATATTGAGACATAATTGAGGAGGTGGCAATGACGATTCTTGGTTTGTTGGAGTAGGTTAAAACATCGATAGACAAGCTATTAGTGGGCGAGATAGAAGATATGTTTGATGTGGCAGTGAGGGATGCTGAGTGGAGCTTGATCGTTTAGCAAGCAAAGCTGGGGAGCTTCCAAGCTTGCAACCAGTACATTTTTGAGTATTTGGAGCGAATAGGCGGTCTGACACCATTTATGACAAATGATCTTGTAATAGGGATTCTTCATGGAAACCGACATCCTGGGTTGTAATTTTTTTTAGTGCTGGCCTTTGGATGGTGAGTCCATTATAATATGAAAATGCGTAATGCAATGCAAATGTTCTTTTTTAGCGCAATTATTTTATGTGTTCAATTTAATGTATCATCGTGATAGGTTTCATAAAAGATTAGTGAGAAAGGGCTTTTTTCTTGTTCTATTTGGAATTTCCTGCTCGTGGCAAGGGCTTTCAGAGGAGCGAGTGTCAATATGTGGAAAAGTGATGATTTGTTCCCTGCGGTCGGTTAGCCAATTGATGGTGATTCATATCATGATAGGGGCTTTGCCTAAGGTGAGAAAGCATATGTGACTCCTGGGAGAGAGAAACTACAGGCAAGTAGAGGATATATTATCGTGATGGGAGAGAGATGTAGGATCTTCATAATTAATGATGATTGGACCGCAGCCTTGGTATTCATTTGTTGAGCGTCCTGTATGAATAATCGTGGTAGGGTCCTTTGGTGAGATTCCTACTCAAAATCTTACTTTCCTCAATTCTCCTCCGACGACCTCTATTCTCTCCAATGGCTGCCATGCAGAGGTGTTCCATTGAGTTCTCTAGGAAGCGCAACTTGTCTGAGTCTCGGTTGCCTGTTGAATATGCCAAGGTTGCCTACAATGCATATTATTTCTTGTATAATAATTCTCTATTAGGTCGGCGAAGGATGTTGAAAGGATCAACATCCTATTTGTCAACAAGCTAGTGGTGTTGACTAATCACTTTGTGTTGGAGATGTGATTTCTCTTGTGCTTAAAGCTTGAGGAAGTGCTGAACTGTAAGGAGTTGTCCCCGCCCAACTGTTGCCAAAATCCATGGCATTAGTGATTTCTTTTGCCTTATACCTCCACATATGCAACTTCCTATGGTCGTTGGTGTTATTTAGGAATGCCTTTATAATGAAGGCATTTAAGGATGAATGTGTGTAGTTCTTGCTCACTACTATGAAGGTGTTGGACCTTTCTATCAAAGTGCGTTATTGGAAGGCTAAGTATGTGGTTGTTTAGAGTGTAGTGGGTTGATAGTGCCTACTCGCTTGACCACATTTATGAAAAAGATGGTGGTGTTTCCCCCCTTGATCCCAAAGGAGCAAGTGATGGTCTCCATTAAGGCGATTCACTCATCTCCCTCTACCATGTTGCCTATCAAAATATTTTTAAGAATGTTTATGGTAGGATCGTCGTGTGCTATATAATTTCATGTTTATGGCCAAGACGCCTCAAACTGATGAGGAGCATAGCGACAAGTACTCCCTGCGAAGGGGATCACCATTAATGAGGGTATTGTAGTGGTGAGGCTCGAGAGGATGAAGAAGGTGGTTGACGAAATAGGCAAGGGTAAAAACCTACCAAACCTTCCTCTTCTTCAGGGTCAGCAAGCTATGCACCAAGTGAAGATGAGCTGGTGTATCTAAGAAGATTTATTTCCAGGAACCCTCATCCCGAGTGAAGAGAGAGAACGTCCAGGAATTTTGGAAGATTTCAAATTTTGTGAATCTCCTGCTGTCGTCGTTGATGGTGGAAGAGGGTCGCCGGTTATCTTCTAATGACCAGAACACCTCATCCTCAGCGTCTGCCGTGCGTCCAACTCTGTTCGATACAAAAGGTAGATTTCATTTCAACCGCAGCTTCTCTCACAATTCCTACTTCATGAATACTCCTCTGGTTATCAGAGAAGGTTGTTTTGCTTCTAACCGGAAAATTTTGCCTGATGGAGAAAAAGGAAAAGAAGTGATTTCCTGTTTGGATAGTAAGTCGATTTTATCTGTCTCATTGTCAAAAATATGATTCCTTATCTGATTCGACTTTTCTTCCTAAATCAAACGAGAGAAGTTAACGATATTAGATTAACACATATATGATACATGAGACTTTTTTAGGGCGGGGGTTGATAATGACATGTGTATCTCATGATGTGATGTTCTTTTTCTGATGGAGAGTAGTTAATGACCGCAAGAATAATAGTTCTAGTTTTGAATGCTAAGGAATAAACGTGCATCCCATGATATGACAAGGTATTTTTTCTTGTTCCAATTTTGAATGAATGAAGCATGAATGTGATGTAATGATATTATAATTCATGCAATTGCATTAATGATATTTCATGTTATATTTGAATTGCCATGAAAACTATAATAGATACATGACTATGATTCCTACGGATATCATAACTTTAAATGTTAGCAATTATGATTATAATTGACGAATCAGGCATGGTATTACATAGCATAATCTTATTGATTCCCATGACTTGTGATTATTGTCTAGTGTATAATCTGTTCTATACCCTATATATGTTTTGTGATAAAGTTCCATATAATTTGTATTTGACCATGCATGTTGCTTTACTTGCCCATTGGGTTTTCTATTGGGTTTTTTGCTTACCATTGTATTTACTTTTATGTGTTTTTATCAAGCAAAAGGTAGTAGTAGGAGTAGATTTGTAGACTGACAAGGGCACTATTATATGTTTTCGTTTATCTGTTGTAGATATTAATGTGATAACGTCATATGCAATATGAGATACCATTGGACATGTATGGATGTTTGAATGCAGTTGTACAAGTGTCTCGGATGGTTATTAGTTGCTTTGTATATATTTTAGTATATGCTGATCCATGATGTAACATTAATTAAGAATGTAAGTGCTTTGCGAATTTGTATAGTCTAATGTTGATTTAATATTGTAATTGATAATTTTATTTGGAAGTTTGTCTGAATCGCTCATCGCCACAATGTAATGCATTAGGGTGGGCGTGTGTTGACCTCTGAACAAAAACCAAAAGAACAAAAAGGAGCCTTGCCCGATGAATCCACGATTCCTGCAGAAATCCTGCTCAAATCCAGCTATATCTCTGTTCATTCGGCGTTATCCCGAGATTTCTGCTCGCGCCGAATCAACATGATTTCGGCAGGATTTTGAGGATCCAACAAGTATGAGATGTTTGTATGCTGGATTTATATCTTAATTTCATCTCCCTTTGTTTCCTTTAGGTATAATCATGAGGGTCGACATTAATTTTGATTAATTAATTTAATTATAATTTAGTTACTTTTAATTATAATTAATTAAAAATGATTTCTAATTAATTATGATTAATCATAATTAATTATTATTATTGATAAGTAATTGTAATTAGTTCAATTTAATTATTATTAATTATAATTAATAAAGGTTAATTTAATGAAAATAAAATAAATATTCTCTCTTACCTCGATGTTCGTGTCGGGCCGGCAAACCACCTATGCACGCCTTTGTTGAGCGTGGTAGGAGGGAACCCGGTGTGACATCTACGATAAGGTAGGCGAGTGACCCCTCGATCCACGTGCCAACACCAACAACCCCGCAAAAGTACGAATCTCTCTAAACTCGAAAC